GCGACCTCCCCCCACCAGACTCCCCCCGCCACAGGGCGCGGGCGGGGAAATTGTGGGGTTTTTTGCCCACACGTCTTAAAGTTGTGAAGGTTGAGAAACGCTGGTGTAGGGTATTATAACAGAATCTTAAAAGCCTGCAACACACATAAAGACAGACAGAGCTTTGATTACACCATCCTGGCTGCCATCTTGACTTTTTTGACTATACCCTGGGGACACTCCTGCCCCCTTCCCGCTTTCATTCCAAAGCAGCTGGAGAGGTCTCTATAGAGGTGGTTGCAATGAGCCATCAGGACTGATGATCAGGAATATCCCCCGTGAATTAGCCTGGCCCTCTTCTAAAGCTGTAGGTTTACTAAGACTTCTTCTTGTACAGGTTGGTGGCCATGGCTATTATCTTGTCATAGCGAGTTCTGGAGTCCTGTGGCAAAAATAAGTTGTGTTTTGGGCAGCCATTCCTAGCAGCTGGCTCTTGCTTGATTTCCCTACATTGTGGATAATATTCTAGACATTTAAGAAGGTTAAAATGGCAGTCCCTAAGAGCAGACACTCACAGCGTTGTTTTGGGATCAATAAACTTTAAACTAAGTGGCCTCCAACTGATCCATGCCTAACCCTGACCCGCTAATTGCAAACGTGAATACAGCACACAGCCCTAACGATTGCCACACTTTTATGGCATCCATTCTATGTTTTATTCTTCAACGATTTCTTGAATACACAGTCCTAGAAAGATCTTCGAATCCTGCTCTAGGGCTACATTCACACAACACACTTGATGATGTATGTACAGTACATCTGTATGACATTTATATCAATTTTCCAGGCTCACCTAATCCATTAAACCATAAACTAGCCCAACAGGCTGAGTTCACACAATAGGCTAAGACAAACGCCTAATCAAGATGAACACTAAGTAGGCTTAGCATTATGGGAATGCAGCTACTAGACCTTTAGTTGGCCTGATATTCCGTGTGAACTTAAGTCTAGAGCTTCTTCTCTCCATCCTTATTTTTGGAAGCCATTCTTGACTCCCCGCGGGCCTTTCTGCTTTTTCAGGCTCCCATCTCCAATGCCACGGCTGACCAATGGAGAAATGCAGACTTCACAGAACCTCTCCTTAGCAGTTGCTTCAACCCTACCCTTTGGCTCCATAATTGAAGAAAGTTGGTGGAAGATCAGATCTGCCCCACTTCTCTTGCTCCATGCTGACATTTTTCTTCTATGCAAGCTTCCCAGTTTCTAGCAAAGCTTGGAACATCATCCAATCCGATCTTCCTGCTGCAAGCCAAGAAGCTCCATGGCAAGAGTTACAGATTCTGAACTACAATGTCACAATTAGAGAATGAATTTAAGCTAGGGATGGGTCACCTTTACAGCCTGGTAGAATTTCAGAGCACGTCATAGGCACTGTCACAAAATGGCTGCCTTACTGGTTATAAAAGTAAAGATGCTCCTAAGCTAAGCTCAACTCTGGTGATTTCAGAGACAAATCCATGTAGGGGTGGTGGTTTCTTTTTTTTTTTTATTTCAGCAATGTGACAGAAGTGATTTGCACTCTTTATTCTGGGATGTTTTTAACCACTTCCCAGTTGTCAACCCCACCAGGCAGACCACACCACATGAAGACCAGAACTATTTTGAGAGGCTCTAATAACAGAATCTTGCAACTCTGACTGTGCTGTACCTCCCCTCCTGATCCCCCAATAAATCAGGGAGACCCTGCTCAAGCCGCTTCTGAATATTACCTTATTTCCCAAAACTTCAAGAATGTTTCGGCCCTCTTTGCCTAGGTAACAGTTCTTGTATATTTCTGCCAAGGTCATATTCCTTACTCTTCACAAGTGGTGAAGATACTGGGCTAGGAACTGGAAGACCAAGTTCTCGTCCTCCCTTAGCACAGAAGCACCCTAGCGAAACTTGGGCCAATCTCTCCCTCTCAGACCAAGAGTGGTCCAGTGGTGCCAGCCCCTCTAGGTAGACCAGATCAGGAAACTGACCCCACAGGAAGGCTAGAATTACCTTGACTGAGGATGACTAGAATAACAGAATCCTGCAAGTCCAGTTGTTCTGTCCTCTCCACCTCTTACTGTTCAGTTAATCAGGAAGGCATCTGCCTGAGATGTTTCCAAATATTATCTTGCTTCCCATGACCTAAATAATGTTTCAGACCCCTTTGCCTTGATGATGGTTCTTGCATATCTCTGTCAAGGTCACCTCCCTTACTCTCCCCACTAATCTAGCCTACAGCCATGCAATTTTCCCCTGGTCTCCTATACAAGTGATAACCGGTCCAACCCTACTTAGCTTCTGATCATCCAGATGCTGCCTTCTGCAGCCAGTTACAAAACTCCTGCTGATTAGAAGGCCAGTGCAGGAGGGCCCCACCCAAATAAAGCTTTCAAAAAAAATTTCTTTGTGGGAATGCCTGTGCCCAGAGGCCTTTTTGCAAAGCGGTTTGAAACTGGAGAGTGATGCTTGGCATTGCAGAATAACAGCTTATTTAACAAACCTGAGAAGAATCTTAACAAAAAAGAATAATAAAGTCAGGTGGGCACTGAAGGAATCATCCACGGCCACCCCTAAGTTAAGGTCTGCTGGTCCAGCTGTGTGCTATGGAAGGAGACTTGCATAAAAAGCTCCCAGCTTGGACAGGGACCGTACTTCCAAGGGCTCTCCTTCTCAGACCATGAAAAAGCAGAATTTTTTATGAAAAATAAATCCTAGGGCTGGGCTGGACAGTTATTTTTTAAAGGGGTGGATTTATTTCCCCCATAAAAACTTTTCATCACCTGTCTGAGCAGCCACTGAATAAACTACCTACAGCAGTTCTTGCTTTCTCCCTGCCTTTAGAAGCAGAAGTTCCAACAAGAGGGCAACTCGTGTTTGGTGCTTTTAAATCTCCATTAATGCTGGTTTCCCTCTCTTTCTCTCCCGCAAATGAGCAGGACTTAAGAAGTGCTTCACCTGGGCTGCCTAAGGCTATACATTTGTATAACAGCCACAGGAGCTGCAGAAAGACAATTCGGCATGTTTTGTTCCCAGAGGCGGCTTCAAAAACATCCTTGAACATCTCCTTGCCTGCCTGCCTGAGTTTGACATGGACTAAGTTTGTGGGCCCTCTACAAGGAGAGGGATGGATTTTCCCCACTTGGAAAACACAATGTTCTTCTCTTTCCTTTTGCTTTTCAAAATGGGCGGTTGCAAATCTTTTGGTGGAATTTTGATAGGAAGATGCTACCATCTCCATGCCTGATTTGCATTAAGGGATGCCCAAAAATAAAACCAAAAAAGAAAACTGGAATGAATTATTATGCTTCTTCACCAGGAAAAGCTGAAGTGTGGTTCTCACTAGACAAAGATGAAGTACACTCAGTCTTCCTTCCTCCTCCCTCCCTTTCTCTCTCCTCCTTTCCTTCCTCCTTTCCTTCCTTCCTCCTCCCTTTCTCTCTCTCTCTCTCTCTCCCTTCTCTCCCTCCCTCCCTTTCTCTCTCCTCCTTTCCTTCCTCCCTTCCTCCTTTCCTTCCTTCCTCCTCCCTTTCTCTCTCTCTCTCTCTTCTCTCCCTCCCTCCCTTTCTCTCTCCTCCTTTCCTTCCTTCCTTCCCCCTCCCTCCCTCCCTCTCTCCTTCCTCCTTTCTCCCTTCCTTCCACTGTTGGATCATCTCAAGCAAGCAGAAACATTGCCTTTCTTCTCCACATGACCAGCATCCATGGAGGGTTTGAGATGGTGAAGTGGACGCTTTGTATTTATTTAGGTTGACGTGGAGCCTGTGCTCTTTCGGTTAGAGATGCTTCAACCTGGATTCCTGCACTGAACAAGGGGTTGGACTTAGTGGTCTAAATCAGTATTTCCCAGCCTTGTCAACTTTAAGAGGCCTGGACTTCAACTCCCAGAATTCCAC